CAGCCGCCAGGAAATGGGGAGAAGTCACCAAACCGGGTGGCGAGGTCCACACCGCTGAGGATCGTTCGTCGGCGGCAAGCTTCGCGTCCGCGGTCGTGGTCGCGGTCGTCACTCGCCACTTGCTCGCTCGCCCCTCACCGGCACCTGCTGCTGGGACAGAGGTCGCCCACCTGTGGACTCCCGAGCCGCATGCTGGCTCTTTAAAGAGCCGCATGCTGGCTCTTTAAAGAGCCGCATGCTGGCTCTTTAAAGAACGCGTCGCGGCTCTTGAGACATTGAGGAGGGGTTTACCGGATTCGAAAAAAGATTACTCTTATTCTTAGTTTTTTCGGTAACGTGACTTTACCGAAAAAACTAAGAATATGAATTACTGCAGTCACGAAAGCTTTAAATCAAGATTACTCTTCTTTAACTTTTGGTTGCCGACCCCTGAATATGGGAGTCCAGTTTACCATATAAGTCCAGTTCACCATGGAAGGCTAATTTATCATGGGGGTCCAGTTTATCATATAAGTCCAATTCACCATGGAAGGCCAGTTTATCATGGGGGTCCAGTTTATCATATAAGTCCAGTTCACCATGGAAGGCCAGTTTATCATGGGGGTCCAGTTTATCATATAAGTCGAGTTCACCATGGAAGGCCAGTTTATCATGGAAGTCCAGTTTATCATATAAGTCCAGTTCACCATGGAAGGCCAGTTTACCATGGGAGTCCAGTTTATCATGGAAGTCCAGTTTATCATATAAGTCCAGTTCACCATGGAAGGCCAGTTTACCATGGGAGTCCAGTTTATCATGGAAGTCCAGTTTATCATATAAGTCCAGTTCACCATGGAAGGCCAGTTTACCATGGGAGTCCAGTTTATCATGGGGGTCCAGTTTATCATGTAAGTCTAGTTCACCATGGAAGACCAGTTTATCATGGGGGTCCAGTTTATCATATATGCTCAGTTCACCATGGAAGGCCAGTTTATCATGGGGGTCCAGTTTATCATATAAGTCCAGTTCACCATGGAAGGCCAGTTTATCATGGGGGTCCAGTTTATCATGTAAGTCTAGTTCACCATGGAAGGCCAGTTTATTATGGGGGTCCAGTGTATCATATAAGTCCAGTTCACCATGGAAGGCCAGTTTATCATGGGGGTCCAGTTTATCATATGAGTCCAATTCACCATGGAAGGCCAGTTTATCATGGGGGTCCAGTTTATCATATAAGCTCAGTTCACCATGGAAGGACAGTTTACCATGGGAGTCCAGTTTATCATGGGAGTCCAGTTTAGCATGGGCAGGGGTCGGCATCCTGTGGCTCCAGAGCCGCGTGCGGCTTTTTAAGGACTGCTTCGTGACAGTTATTTACGAAGCACCACCATCGTCTCGTATTCAGACGCCATCACTGCTCTTGAGATCTTGTTATTTTGGTTGCCGGCCCCTGTGCCAGGGAGGACTCCGCCGCTACCTTCGCGGGCTGGCTCCTCCGTTGGGGAGGGAGGAGGAGGACGACGACTCCGCGGGTCAGCAACGCGACAGTGGAAACAGCGTGCGGGGGGCCAAGGCGGCACGAGACGAGGAGGAGCACAGGGCGGGCGGGCGGGGCGGGGTCAGGGGGGTCATCGAAACGGCACAGGGCGAGAGCGCGCGGAGGGAAAGGAGACGTCATAGCAAGCGAAACGGGGCACATCTTCCTTGGCAACTGACATCCTGTAAAAAAATATATATATAGACGATGGACTGTCAGAAATGTCACATTAATACGAATGTACAATATCCCTGTCAAAGGCAATGTATGGGAGCATTATGTTTTTGGGTGGGAACAACCGGCTATGAAATGCGATGGTATTCGGCACCCCGTACTGTACGTGACAAATCTTGACACTGTTTTCCAAAGACTCCCCTGATGTGCACGTTATGCTTTTCAGGGTGAACAAGTAGACTATCATAACAATAGTTGCGTTAAAACAATAATATATGGTACATTCAATAAATGAGAATACAAATTTTACTGAGTGAATCAGGATTTCGTTATTCATAATGTTAATTTTATTTCAAATGTTATTTTTCTACCAATTTCATAGCATTTTGAAAAGGGCAACTTCCATTATGTCTGTAAATTGCAGCAATCATTGGTTATTTGTTCATACTTGGAACATCTTGCATCAGTGATCAAAGTTTTATTTCCAATTCAAACAACCCACTTAAAAAGACATTGCATCAGGCAATTGGGCAATAATGCCACTGAGTGACATCTTACAAAAAGTTCAAATAACATGCAACGAATTCGTTTATTTATTTACTGTTTTTTTTATTCTTCCAACGACTAAGCGATGTACATTGCCTGTCATTCTTCCGACAGCTCAGCCATGAGCATGTTTATTAATAAATTAATTGTATGGCATGAAACGAGCAGAACCAGCTTGATGAATCAGCCTTCCACTTCAGAGGAGCTCCAGTGAATTATCACGGGAGAATAGCATATGGGACTATGTAAACAACATCTGCGTCCTGTTGTACTTTCTACACGACTTTAATTGGCTGCCACGAAGTTGCGTACCCTTCGAGATCTGCGTTCTACCTGACAAGCCCATATATTCGTGCCACGCTGTGAGCCGCAATCCTTCGCACCTTTTTATATATATGTATATTTTTTAAAAAGCGAGCCAGATACACAAGAGTGGGAAATGGCCATTGGCTCCGTGCTTAAAGAGCCAGCTGCCTTATCCGCAGGATGTGCTGCATTGTTGTACAGCATCGCGGCAAAGCGCGCGCGTGCAGTGGCGCATCACGGAGCCGTGAAACGTGCCGCGGTTTGCCGTGCACTCGAGTCATCTGGAGTATTGCAGTACAACGTGTTACACACAATTTTGATGTCGCAAGTAGCTGAGGTGGGGGGGGGAACAAAGACAGATTACTCTTTACCCGCGAAGTGAGTTTCTTTTTAGACTTCACAAAATGCAATTACTGGAATCAGAAAATTATGCATTCCGTCAACACGAAAGCAGTTTTTTTTCCACGTGTTTTTAGCCTTACTAAAACGGAATCAAACTGTCACGTGAAAAAAAAACAAGTCAGTGTCCACAATGATACCTTGCGTGATATTTGATTATTTTGTTAGAGAATAAATGCGTGGAATGTGTCTTGCATTTCCCTAGTCTCAATACCCACGAAAGCCTAACTCCACAAAATAATGATCGTTCCAGATAAAACAACTGCAGAAAGGTCTGGGGATGGGCAGCACGGAATTCCATTAGACTGCAATGTATATTTTAGTGGATTGCCACCAAGAGGGCTTGTGTCAAGACCCGACGGTGTCAAGCTAATCGCGCGATATTTAGCCCAACATTGTTTCAAATCAATAACTAATTATCCGAGTATGACCAGAGTACAGCGAGCGGCATGTCTGAGGTCCGCTTATTACGTGCACAGCACTGGGCAGAAAGGTCGCCTCTGTGACATTTATGGAAGGCCTCCAAGATCCCCGTGTGCTGTCGGCCTGAATTAGCATTAGCAACTAATTACTATGGAGCACACTATGCAAAGTTTTGTTCTAGTTTGGAGCTACATAGCCAAAGACTAATACTGGAATTGCTGGGCGTATATACCTATAAGCCAAACCAATTTACTGCAACTGCAGTAATAAGTTTGCATTGGCTAATATAGCTCCGGTGCAGCTAAAATAAAAACATCAATCCTGTGTTTAAAAAAAAGAAAGAAAAAAAATCATTGAATTGCATGTCAGCGCTTGCACGCCTTATCGAAGTGGTTTAAAGTTTTGCGCAAAGTCTCAATAAGACTTTTCTCTGCAGCAGTGCACAAACACAAAACTTCATCCCCCATTTATGTGCCGGCAATAGAGGCCTGCCGAGTCCATTCCCCGCCCGGTAGCTTGTCATGTTAAAGCCCCCACGCCAGAAATGTTTGGGGTCTCCCATCCATAATAAGCCTTTCAGCGCTCAGTTTAGCAGAGAGGGGCTATTCTTTGGTGCACTGCAGGGGCTGGACCCATTGTTCAGGCCTGCTGGTAGCTCCCCTTCCAACTCCACCCCCCCCACCCTCTATCTTATTCATGCTCGGAGCCAAGAATTACACGGGATTCTATCACGCTGCCCTTGGACACTGCGTGGAAAAATTGCAGTTGATTGCTTAATCTCCCACTGTAAATTTCAAACTCACAGCGTCAAAAAAAAAACACAATTTTTGAACGTTAACGCGTTATAACGAACAGAGGAGAGGGATGCGCCGAGAGTATACATGAAGTAGTCGCGCACCATATGTTACAAATGCGCTGGTTAGTATGCCGGTTGTGTTGAAAGTTGTCAGAGGCAGGAAAAGATTTAAAAAAAAAATGTTGTTAAATGTTTAAATGTCCTACAGGAATAGTCTGCAACAAGTGCTTTATTCTATTAGGATTTAGATATCCAGACTGACAAATGCAAAAGTTCTAAGCATAGAAAGCAATTAGATTAGCCTCCAGGGGCTGAAACTCATTAACTGACATAACATGTGGCGCACTATCATGTTGCTTAAATATTCAAACAGTTTAATTTCATGAACTCCCTTGTATGAATTTATAAAACACAGCAGCATTTTTTTTTTTGCTCAAACAATTTTTCCTGTTGACATTTTTGTTTTCAAAATTGTGATTATTTTGCTTGAAACCTGTAATTCGGTGTTGAAAATAACAGCTATAATGCTCAGATGCTGGTATTAAAAGTGTATGATTACGAATGCGGCTTAATTTGTCTTTACAGACGTGAGGTCTACGAACATTGCCCATTCAGTTAGATTTAGATCAATCCAAACAGAATGATGGGCTATTTTAACCACCACCTCACCTCGTGTGCACGATTAAATGCACAAAACTAGAAACGTAAACTTCCAATTGAGTTCATAATACTCACATAGTGCCACCACACAATGATTGCAAGTGGTAGAAGGGAAAATAGAAAACGCATCAGTGAGAGGACGCATAGAGGTCTATGTCTGCTTACCTTCGCAGTACTCACCATTTCAGAAAGCAGGGAAACTGTACAGATAGCACCGGGCACTTTCAGATAATGTATTCTTCGTGAATTAAGTTGAAATTACCACGTTCATCACACTCGCTTGTACGTTTATCAATTCGTCAGGAGTGGCCATGTGTCAACTATTGCATTTAACAAAAATATATGCACTACGATATTACACGACAGGATAGAGTGATGTGCCCGGAGCTGGTCTCAGCAGTTTAGACAAGGAGACAGATGTAAAGAAAATAGCCGTGAGACTGGAGCAGCTAAAGAGTTATTAATGTGTGCAAGGGAGTGGATTAATCTGCCCAACTTTACTTTCAACTTGTCTGACATAGCCCTCGGCTAAAAAAGGAGTTTGCAGGTGGCCAATCTCACAGATTTAAAGGGTCAACCCCTAGCAAGCGCACACACAAGTACCCACACTGAAAGGAGCCCACACTTTGCAACAGGCAGTGAATAATGAAACGAAACGTAAAGCAGTTCAAATGTACTGGGCAGTGAGTCCATACCAGTGTTCTCTGCAGAAAAAGGGGGGGGGGGCGTTAAAAAAAGGGGGGGGGGGACTTGAGTGCTCTGAAGACCACACTGCATGAAAGTGTTTGGGCCCTGTTTGAAAAAACTACCCCAATAGGTTGTCAATGGAATAAGCTCAGCAATCCGCTAAAGGCAGGGTTAGAGTAGGGGGCAGTGCTCAAAGGCACGATCATGTGACAATGTTTTGCCCAAAACAAAGCCTTACGTTTGCTTAAGGCAAGGGGTGGCCATTTTTTTTTCCTCAGCTCTAAAGAAATTCCCTCACAGAGGAATAATAACCACCAACACAAAAGTAACAATCCTTCAAAAAACTCTGCACGGAGGCTAATCATGACAACTCATACAAATATTCCCTCGCTTTCATATTGGGCATGCGAAATGTGATTTTTTGTTATCTTGAAAAGAGGAGGGGGGGGGAATTAATGAAATACCTCATCACGAAACCCAATGATAGTAATAATAAAACAACCTTGCAAGAAAGTTTATAAAAACAAAAAGAATCCAGACAAGGTTGAGATTGTTGAGACCACCAGAATTGACGATTATAGAAAAGTGTGACCTGTCTGACCAGAAGTGGCAGTGAGTGGAAGCCCCGAGGCAAACTAATGTCATTGAGAATCACACGAAACCTGCAGCACATTATTGGCATTTTAGATCAATGTTATTTCTATTTCCTAAAAGTACAATAATAACAATCTTGAGAGTAAACGTCTTACTGAAAGAAGACAAATGTATAAATAAAGCCAGCCTTGTATCACAGTGTTTACGTGAGCTTATAAAAGGTTGGTTATTTTTCTTCGGAATATCAAATGTTGAATTTTGTTTCAAGTAGGAGTTACTGCTCACAGCCTACCGTCAACAACATTCCTTTTAAAGTTACAAAAAAAATGCTAAATATCAATTTATCTCACTGTGTATAAGAGACGAATGCCTCTGCCTTCATATACCAACACAGAAACAATTTCAACCGAGAAGATGGATTCTGGCTTAGCAATCATTGGAAGGATTTGATAAACCATTCCGGGTCTTAATGAATTGTTCACGCTTACAGTGGCTTTCAGACCGCATCCATTATTTTCGTCTCCCCCCTCCTCTTTTCCGAACATAGATTGACTCGTCCATCTGAACAAACTGTCAAATCGCTCTCTGTGGTGCTAACGTTAAAAAAACCGCCACTTTTTTCAAATTTTCTTGCTGTGGTTTTCACACCTGATGATGATTGCTTGTGTTGCAGTCGAAACGTCGTGAGAATTTTATTGTTTTATATTTTTTATTATTTTATTGTTTCCCTTCTACGTGACTTTACCGAAATAACCAAGAATATAAACTCAACGTACAATATTTAAGACATTAAAAAAAGCCACAGTACATTATATATTCTCTAAACTGTCAATGAGAATTGTAAAATTGTTATTATTTACAGATGTTGATAATGGCATAAAGTTCAATATGTGGTCACATTAACAATTGCTTGGTTTAACTCTAACCCTCAAAACCATTGGAAAAGACCTACAGAAAATTATAGAATGAATGTACAGCAGGTTATTTTGCAATTATATATGCCTCTCAAAAGGGCACAACTGGAATGCACAGCAGAGTATGAATACCTGGGACATTTATTGAAAGCGGACTGGGATATAAATGATGAAATAGAGTGATGAAGAAGAACAGGTTAGGGTGCTGTTGGAAAACTGAACTTAATAGTGAAGAATGAAAATGTAAAGACCAAAAGTGTCTCAAAAAGAAGATTTAATCAGTATTTCTTACCTGCTGTGAAATATGTATGAAAAAATGTGGACAACAAAGCAAATGGAACACAATCGGAATAATGCTGAAAGAAGCGTAAAAAGGTGCACGTTTGGAATTACTGAGAGACAAAAAGTGGGACTAATGGATCATTGAACAAATACAATTTAGAGACATTAATATACTGGACTGTCAAGAAAAGTGGACTTGGCCAGCACACATCACTCGAAGGGACGACCAGAGACTAATGACAGTGGCAACCCAAAGAAGTAAAACTTTCATGAGGATCATCACCAATGGGAATGGAGAAATGAAATTAGCTCATTTGCAGGTGCTACATGGATTTTAGCATCACAAGACTGAGAGATAGATAAGGTGTTGCCAGATCTTTATCCAGTATGCATGTATGTTGAACTTCTTTCGCAATTGACTGATTCTGGCTGATGTTGATGGCAGTAACACAAGGCCCACGCCCACCAAAATAAGTCATGAAATAAATTTTGTCTGTGCTATGCTTTAATATAAAGGAATACTTACTTTTGTATAATTATAATGTATACATGTATTGCTGTTGACAGGTACACTTGCAGTAAAATCACAGATATTGTATCCAGGCCTGATGAGGCAGGAGGGTACAAAAGCACTGGAGCCTATTTCTCAGCCATCTATTTCATGCACGAAACACGTCTCTGGCCCAAAAGAAGCAAAGTAATAATAAGAACGTGCAAAAGCATTTGCTTCGTAAAAATAACATTGAGTAAAATCTAGGCCTAGGCAAAGTTGTTCCCCTTTGACACAACGGCGATGGGGGATGGAAACCAATGGAGACCCCCAGCCAACATCATTATGCACCGGGGCCCCACAATTCTCTCGCCGGGCCTGTCGACAATCACACACTACCGCTTGCTTTTCAAGCCTTTACCAGCTTTTGTCCAGAGCCTTCCATTAATATGATTATTAAAGCCTCCGATGAAGCATTAACTAAATGGACGCACTTGACGCACAGGACTGCATTTTGCCCCAGTGCAGAATCAGTTCCCTGCGAGGCGATTGCCTGCATGCCAGTTTCGTCATACGCCCTGGATCTTCATAGCCGTCAACGTCATATTGATACGGCAAACGTTTTCTTCAAGCTTCACGCTCAAGTACGAGTTGATAAGTTTCCAATTCTCATCAATTGCCTTGGTCCCAACGTGTTGTACAGGGTGGTCCAGATGTCCCGTGACCACCACCCCCCCCCCCCCCCCCCATTTAATTCCCTAAGAATTAATATTTTTTTTAAGTAAGGCTTATTTATAACAGAAATGAACATGCAAAGGTGGGGGGGGGGAATATTTTGGGTCAATTCATTGGGGGTAACAAGGTATCTGGACCACCCTGTCGTGTAGTGTGGATTCGTAATGCTTTAAAGACACATTGAGACAACTCGACGAGATATCTAAATTCATTATCTCCGAAGCTCTCCCCACCCCTTCCCAATGATGTAACCCACGTTTGCAACGTCTCCCCCTTCCCCCATGCAGATTTGCTTTGGCTTCCAGTCTAATCCCCATGGGGCTAAGGCCCCATGACCGCCAGGAGCAGAGCTTCTGCCTGGGGTCGTGCAGGGCACGGGTGGGATGGTAATGGAAGTAAGAGGAGACGAGCGATTGAGATTGACACTGACCTAGGCCCGTGACACCTCCCTTCCTTCCCATCTGTCTGGCCTGCCTAGGTCTAGCTTGCAATTAAGACCTGCAGGCCTGTGAGGGGGGCGGGGGGGGCTAAGCAGACCAGCTGTCATGGCCTTACGTTCAGCCCGATGCTGATATCATAATTACCTTCTAGGGTAGCTCGTGGGCCCACGCTGTAGCAGTGGCAAACCTGGCTCAGGCCAACAGGGAGAAAGATCCCAGTTTTCTTTTTTTTCTTTTTGCCCAGGCCGACAGCAGGCCCATAAATTACTTTAACAGCAGGACAGACTCCTTAGACGTGACCTTGTTCCCAAAAAAGCACTTCGCCACCAAGCCTCTGCCCCGCCGATCCCCCTTTCATCTGCCCTTCTTGGAGTTTGCTGCGAATTCCACAGGAAGGCTACGAGCTGCACCAGCACCACCACCACCACCCCCTTGTTTGTAGACTGTCGCTTCTCCAAGATGAAAGATTATGCGGCTTAATTTATGCGGTCCCAAAGCGATGTGCTCACGTACACAAAGGTGTTTTGTTTATTTATTTACTTACACGTCGGGGTTCAAGTTCAGAAACTGAGCCGAAGTCGTGTCGTTGCTGGTGATTAACAAAACTGGGTCAAATCAGTGTGTTTAGAAAAGAGAAGATCGTAGTGTGCCTTATGTAATGTCGTGAAGTTTACAGTCCTTTAATTAAACACATGCTACAGACTTTTCGTATGAGTTTCTACATTTGAAACCTAAAATTGGCAATATTTTTTAAATCAACAAGTATTACTTGAATGGCAATATCTGAGTAACTCCACTGTTCGTCTACTTGCAGTGTGACAGTCCCAGTGGTTCTCTGACCATACTTCACCATGCCGGTCAATGTGAGTTGCAGGGGGGAGTCTCGGATTGTGCGAATCTCCCTCACCACTGATGATGCCAGACATCAAACTCAGGGAGTCAGATATACTGTGGAGCGCACTAACCACTGGGCCATCACTCTACTGAATATGACTACATTGGTAAAGAGTTTTACCGAAGATTACTAAACCAATGTATATTTATAGCCTAATCTTTAAGAACAAACATGTGAAAAGTGCACGGGACACCGAAAGGCAAACTTAATAACAACTTCTGTCTTTGCTGCCGCAGCTGCATAAAAAAAACATCGCCAATGTCACGACAGTGTGTACGGGAAAACAGATGTGCAGAGAATCAAGCAAGGCCGCTTCAAAAGCCAAGAGAGCTCACACTGAGACATACATGCAAACAACATTGTGCTGTTGAACATTCAACCAGCCTCGAGAAAACGGAGGATTTGTGGGGGCCATCTCGAACAAGAGCGACATTTTTGTGTGTGTGTGTCATTGAACAATCCAATGACCATTCTTGGCAGTGAGCACCCCCTTGAGTGTGTGAGCACTAAGCCATGTGCCTTATCTTCTACAAAAGAAAAAGGCACTCCATTATTAGCTGGTCCACCAAAGGACATTAAATATCTCATTTAAAGAGTTTAACACC